TGTGGTTACCAGCACCCAGAGCAGAGAGCCAGCATGGCTGTCACCAAGGGCTTTACATCCAGGAGGAGACTCCACCCTTCTCAGCCTTGAGGACTCCAGAGCAAAGACTAGGATAGCGCCCTCGTTTCTGCCCCAAGAGGAGCTTGTGAGGTGGTTGGTGGGGACCAGACAGGATGCGTGTGTGCCACAGCTGTGGTCAATGGTCAGCTGGGGATTTAGGCATGGCTGTGGGATCTGCTCCCTGGCTCCTGGGGTGGCTCTCACAGCTGGGCCATGCAAGAGCTCAGCTCTGAGAAGCTCTGTTATCACTTTCTTTTTTTGGTGGTGGTGTGGGGGGGGTGTTGAGACAGAGTCTCCCTATGTAGCCCTGAACTCACTATGTAGCCTATGCTGGCCTCTAACTCATAGTGATCCTCCCACCTCAGCCTCCCAAGTGCTGGGATTACAAGTATGTGCCACCACACCTGGCTATTGTCACTTTCTAGACGTGTCCCTGGTGGGGAGATTTCTTGGATGTGCCCCTTCTTTCTTGCTTTCTGGGCTGGAGTAAGCAGGTCCTCCCAGGGGCTGCCTCCAAGGGGCTGGCAAGGCCCACCTGCCCTTCCCGCCTCACTTTGGGCCTCACCTCCCTGCCAGGATCCATGAGGTATCCTTTTTCATATGGGTAGCCCAGCTCTGCAGGAGATCCGGCAATTTCCAGGGAGGATTCTAGAGCTTTGCCCCTTCACTGCCTTACTCCCCACCTGCCTGTCTACCAGTGTGATGGGCTGCTGCTGGCCCCTGGAAACCAGGCAGTGCCCTTGTGCCCTGATACCAGGCCCTACAATTACAGGTTGGCAGGCCTAGGGGCAAAGTGTGCCAGCCAGCGCGGCAGCTTGCTGGCGTCCAGTCTGTGCCTTGGGGGCTGTGCCCTGACTGGCTCAGTTGTGCTGGGCAAGAAGCTGATCCATGATGGGGGGAGGACTGGGTCTCCAGTCTGCTCTAGGTATCCTGAGTCCATGGGGGGCATTGGCTTTCTTCCTTCCTGGCAAGGGCTAGAATCTGTTCTGGTAGTTCAGAGATCAGTTACTGCCCAGATGGAAGACTGAGCTGGACCGAGGTTGAAGATGCTACCCCTCCACCCCACTGGGCTGACCTTCACAGGGGCAGGGGCTCCATCTCGCCTCCTTGTTGCCTTGCTGCCATGCCTACCTCTGCATGCAGATATACATGAGGAGAGCTGAGTATGTGCAGGTTATGATGTATTCACAACCATGTACATGAACATGAGGGTACTAGCATGTGTGTGTGTGTGTATGTGTGTGTGTGTGTCTGTGTGTGTATGTGTATAACTTGCTGTACCTCTTATGAGACCACAAGTATGCATACCTGGGTGCATGTCAGGTTGTTCTTCAGCAAGTACACCCAGAAAACCTGTGGAATATTTAAGGATGCCATCATTTCTTTGATTCATGTCCTTGCCCCAGTGCTTTTAAAAAATTTTTTGAAACGGGGTCTCACTATGTAGCCCAGGCTGTCTTTGAACTTGTGGTGATCCTCTTGTCTCAGCCTCCTGAGCTTGGGGACTACAGGCATACACTACTGTGCCTGGCACCACATGTTTGATATTTTGCATGTCATCCCTGTTACCTGCATATACGTGGACTTGTGTTGTATGGTTTGTGTGTGGCTCCCAGGCTATGAGTGCTTGTGTATGTGCAGGTATGAGCTGAAGCTTGTGTACATGTGGTTGCACTTGGTTGCACTTGGTTGCACTTGCAAGTGTCTGTGCATGCTTGTGCGTTTCCGCACATGGGAGCATGTGTGCATGTGTGACCGTGTAAACACAGGTGTGTATGAGTGCGCACCTCTCTGGCCAGGAATGGCTAAGCCAGGGATTTTCATCCTCGCTTCCCCAGCTCCAGGGAGAAACCCTCTTAAGTCTGAAATGGCAGAGGGCAGGGCTCTCAGGCTCAGCCAGTGTCTCGGGCTCCAGGCAGCATTCCCAGGCCTTGTTGTTCAGCAAGGACTAAGACAGGGTGTAGGAGAGTAGAGCCTGATTTCCCTTTTGGAAGTCCCCTGCAGGGCTGCTGTCAGGAGGATGGTGGGGCCTGGGAAACTGGAGAGGCGGCGGGAGAGGAGGGAGCTCTAGATCAGGCCCGAAGCAGTGGACAGGAAGCAGAGGCAGATCTGAGGAGCAGTGAGGATACAGAGCGGACAGGACTGCAGGGGAGTGAGGGTGAGAGAGGAGAGTCAGATCACTTTGTGTCTGGCAGCGGTTCTCCCTGGCTCCCCTGAGTCTGAGGATGAGCAGTTTCAGCAGTGCGCTGGCAGCCACTGCGCCTGGGTCCTGGCTGGCTCAGCCACTCTGGGAGGATGGTGATGTGAAGGGGTGGAAAACAGGAGAACCCTGACCAGTGTGCAGTGCCTCGTGGCTGTCCAGGAGGGGCCTGGACTTACAGGGCTGAGATGCCTGTGTAGGAGTGGCTTTGAATAGGCACTAAATTCTTTAAACTGGGGCCCTTTTGGTTTGTTGGTTTTGTTTTTTAATGGAGGAACCCAAATTTGAACTATGCATGGGAGCCATCAAACTAGGACCTGCTCTGTTTCCTGCCTGTGTGGACTGCAAGCGTGCACAGTGAGGTGACCAGCTTCAGGAGCTGTCTCTTGGTGCCTTAGGAGCCTGGTTAGGCCTCTGGATCCTCTATCATTATGCAGCCAGGGAAACCAAGGCCCAGAGGCAGGGAGCTCCCCAGGGTGCCTCAGCACGCAGGTGAGTTTGGGGCATCCACTGGAGAAGACACGCCCCTTTTCACAGTGCCCCTCTTTGAGCCCTGGTGGCTGGGCTGCCGCTGGTGGGGAGCTTCTGTAATTAAGGGATTAGCAGGCAGCCTCTCCCCAGCCAGCCCTTTGCCCCTCAAAGCCACAGAGTGGAGCCAAGGATTTGGCGGTGCTGTGTCAGTTTCCAGGTGTGTCTGAGGAAACTTGGCATCCTCGGACTGCTCGTTCAGCCTGAAAAGCCTCATTGTGGCTGCCGCCTCCCTCTAATCGGCTTTTTTAGGATCAGGATCCACCCTGCCCCAGCTGGAGGAAGGAAAAGGTATATTTCAGTATGTCCTGTGGGTGTAGACCATGCAGGGGAGAGACAAAACTGGAGGCTGTGTGGCTGTATGGCTGGGGCTACTGGTGTCTGGACTGTGTGGAGGGAGAGGATGCAGCAGGGGAGGGCTGGCACGTGAGGAAGAGAGAGGAGAGGCCTGGTGGCCCAGGAGGGGCCCTGAAGACATGGCCAGAGGGTGGATATGAGTGGGGCCTGGCTTTCATGTGGCCCCAGGAGGCCGGTTGGTAGGCCCCGTCAAGCGGAATGAGGTCTGTGGTTTGCCTGGACCATGCTTGAGAACTGCCAGGCAGCAACTTCCTGATTCCTTCTGCTGTGGGTGCCCATCCCATGTTCTAGGCCCCGAGGTAGGCCCACCCTGCCCTCAGGGGCCTCTTGTTTGTGTGCCATGGGCAGAGGCTACAGCCACAGGGAGTCTGGTTTTGGCCTCTTCCACCCACCCTTCACCAGTGCCTGCCTAGATTCCTGCCCCACCCAGCATGGAGGGCACGTTCCAGCCTCTTTCCTCTGCTCCTGTGGGTCCTCTGCCTCGGTGGTCTTGCAGCTCTTCTCAGCCCATCCTGACCCCGACCGTTCAGGGCTCTGCTCAGGGCCATCTCCCTCCCTGCCTGATTCTCCCATGCCAGTTTCACTGGGCACTGTGGCCCCTGGAGGCCCCTGAGCTCTTTTTGCCAAAGGTCTCCTCACCCTCACTGTGCACAGACCAGCCACAGGGGTGAGGGACTCTCCAGGAAAGGGCTTGATGTGTAAACCTGAGCCTGGGTTCCCTGGTCTGTGACTTGGGTATATTGACGTGCAGCTTACCAGGTCACCCGACCTGAAAGGTAGCAAGAGTGGACGTGCTGGTACACAGTAGGTGTTTGGGCAGTGGTCCTTCGTTCCTCTACCCTGGTGCTCACAGGCTTCTGAGCATCAGGCCTTTGAGTGCCTGAGCCTCCTGCCCAGTGCACAGCCCCGTGACTCCAGGAATGACTAATTCCAGTAATTCTGATAAATGAGACTTTCTTTCTCTTCTTGCTGCTTCATTAAACTGTTCTTGAGTGAGGGGAATGAGGATTGTCCTAATCCCTTGGCACGAGGTGGGAGTTTCAGGGAACTGGGTAAGACTGGCCCACAGTTGCCTGTGGTCACCAGAGAACATCAGGAGCAGGGCAGGGGGTGGGCACTGGACAGGGCCAGAAGCCTCATACGGCAGGGTGGCTTTGCCCTGGGCCAACTGGTGACCTCATACAAGCCTTGGTCTTGTCTAGTTCGGTTTCCCTAGGCTCCCAGTTTCCCTGCACCATGAGAGTACTAGCCCTGTACTGCTCTAGGGGTTTGGGTAGGGAATGGCCTGGGAGAGGCCATCATGGGGTTTCCAGCCAGACTGGCTGGCCTGCACACGGGAGGTGCCTTGTCATTGTGTGCAGGCCTCAAAAGACAACAGATAAGGTATGGGCAAGCTCTAAACAGTCCTTTGGCCTTCTTCCTCTCAGAGAGTGATTCCTCTGCTTTAAAAGTACCCCGGGAGGGCCAGAGATGTAGCTCAGTGGCACCACGCCTGGCTGGTGAGCACCAAGTCGAGTACAATCCCCGGTATAGGAAAAAAAAAAAGTGCCCTGGGAGTCCTGGCTGCTTCCTCTGGGGCCTGTGGGTGACCCTGAGAGCTGGTCCCAGGACTGTCCCTTAGGAAGAGTGCACTTCTCAGGGCTCGGGCCTGGTGCTCACCTCTGGGTCATGGCCACTGGCCAGGCCTGCTGGGGACTGTCTACCCACCCTCGAGACTGGGAACTGGAAAACCAGATCCAGACAGTGCCCACCAGTCAGTTTCTGTCTTGCCTTCTTTGTGGAGCCTTAGTTTCTCCAGTCCACAGGTGGAGAGAGACACTGTGGGGAGCCTCACCCAGCTATCTTTTCTCCACAGGTGTTTCTGGCTCTGGGGGAGCTGCTTCTGTCCTGCAACTGGGCGGTGGTGGCTGACATCCTGCTGGTAGGTGTGGGGTGTGGTGGGGGCAGGTCCGGGGCCCTCTTGGGCAGGAGGAGCTGTTTTTGTCCACCCAGGGTTGGCCCTTTGCTGTTGAGCAGCCTGGGGGTTGGAGAGGCCTTGGGGTAGGGGACCAAGGCCACTCACAGCTGCCTAGGAACACAGGGTCCCTGACACTCAAATGTCTCCTCTGACTGTTGCCCCCATTTTGCAGATGAGGAAAGGGAAGCTCAGAGATGGGAGGTGCCAGGGCTATGATCACACAGTGCCAAGGCTTTGTGCCAGCCTTGGATCCCAGGACTGCCTCCTTCTTTCTTTCTTTACCATGCCACTTCTCAGCAAGCCGGCTCTCAGGTGTGCAGATAGGGGTGCTAGACTTCAGGGCAATGGCCATTGAGCCCAGCTGTATCCACCCCAACTCATGTGTTGTGGGCTGTAGTGCAAGGGGCTGGCTCAGGCTCTCAAGAGGCCTGATGCTGTCCTGACCACATGACTGCTACACCCAGAGTCCAGCTCGGCCCTGTCCTGAGCCTCACACTCTGTCTGGTCTCCCTGTCTCCTTCTGGGAGGTGTATGGGGAAGAACTTTGAACAAAGAGAGGCCTTCTAGGCCTAGGAATACCCTGAGCTCTTCTGTGGCCTCCTGGTGGCACTGTCCCACCTGGAAACAAGGAACCAGGGCAACCAAGCAACTGGCAGTGCAGGGACACAGGCCTGGAGTCAGGAAACAGGACTGGGCTTCTGCTCTGCTTCTGACACAGGCTGTGTGACTTTGGGTAAGTCACTTTGCATCTTTGAGCCTCAGATTCCCCACATGGAGATGATAGTATGTTGTGAGGGCGAAGTGAGATTATCCATGTGAAACTTCTGCCCATTGCCCAGAAGGGAATGCTAGCTAGGATTCTCAGCAATTCCCAGGTTTTTACTTGCTCTTCTTCTGTCCCCCAAAGAAATCCGGGTGACCTAGAATCTGAGTTTGAAAGGCCTATGGGAATGTATGGTCATTTAATTAGCCAACAAGGCCTTCTTGAATGTGACTGTTGACAGGATGCTCACTCCCTGTGGAGTTGTTCCGCCCCCTCCCGGGGCCCAGGCTCAGCCAGCATGGAGAGGGCTGCCCTGTCCTTGGCTCCCAGCCTGTATCATCTACAAAGGTGGTGGCCTTCTCTGGCCTCTCCCTCCATACAGTGACTTGGGCTCCAGCCTGGGACTCAGCCACAGCCCTGCTGAATAGCCTTAGGCCTCGGTTTCCTTGTTATAAAAAGAGGTAATCATAGCCAAGTGGGGTGAGCAAGAGAGCATGCTGGAAAGTGCTCAGGACACAGGGAGATGAGCATCCCCACCCCCAACATAGCCTGCTGTCTCCCTGGCAGTATAAACAGAGCTGCATGTGCCCTCTGCAGCTTCCTCCACTTGCCCCCCAAGGCGTGGATCCACATGACAGCCCCACAGATATGTGAAGACTGCGGCCCGTGTCCCCCGGTGTCTGTGTCTTCAAGAATGATTAACCTGGCAGAACCAAGCTCTTTGTAGAGCTGAAGAGGGAAGGTGGTGGTGGCGGGTGTGGGGCTGGCCAGCTGGAGTCTAACCCATGGGGGAGCTGGCACCCCAGCTCCTTGCTGTTCTTCCTGGCTTGCAGACCTCCAGCCCCACAGTTAGGCATAGCCACCCAGTGAGCTGCCTGCCCCTTTTCCAGCCTTCCTACCTCCTGGAAGCCCATGGGTGCAGACCACCTTCCAGCATCTAGGTGGTGGGGGTTGGGCTGGTCCTTGCAGCCCTGGGAGTTCAGTAGCCTCCACTGCTGATTCCCTGGTAGAGGCACAGGAGGTAGTGGTCTCAGGGCCTGTGCAGGCAATGGGCAGGCTGTGGGTGACCCTGTGCATAGTAGAAGGACATGTGATGACAGGAGAGGGGAGGGAGAATGATGCCTAGATGTGGCACAAGATCCCAGGAAGCTGGACTTTTTTTTGGTAATGGGGATCAAACTTGGGACCTTGAGCTTTTGAGGCAGGTGGTGGCACCACTTAGTAAATCCCTGGCCCAGGAAGCTGGGCTTTTAAGAGGTGGCCAGAGCTGGTTGTGTTGGTGCATACCTGTATCTCAGCTACACAGGAGGCTGAGGGAGGAGGATGGAAAAGTTTTTTTGTTTTTGTTTCTTTTCCAATACTGGGGATGGAACCTAGGGCCTTTACACTGAGCTACATAGTGCCTTTTTTTTTTTTTTTTTAATTTTGAGGGTCTCAGTAAATTGCTAAGTTACTCAGGCTAGCCTTGAACTTTTGATCTTCCTGCCTTGGCCTTCCAGAGCGTTGGGATTACAGGCATGCACCACCACACCCATTGAGGGTGGAAAGTTTTTTTCTGGTACTGGGAATCGAACTCAGGACCTTGCGCTTGCCAAGCAGGCGCTCTGTTACTGAGCTAAATTCCTGGCCTGAGGATGAAAAGTTTGAGGCCAGTTTGGACAAGGTAGCCAGGTCCTGTCTCAAAAAACCCCCCAACCAATCAACCAACCAAACAAAAATCAAAAAGGGGCTAGGGGCATGGGTCGGTGGTAAAGTGCTTGCTCAGTATGTGCAAGGCCCTGGGTTTGATCTCCAGCATCACAATACCACACACACAAAAAAACCCAACCTCAGCCAACCAACCAAATAAAAAGCATAAGAGAGGTGGCCACAGCAGCCTGTGGAGGACAGAGAAGGGAGGTGTGGAGAGAGGTGGCCCTGGCAGGTGGGGAGCAGCAAGGGTATTGGATCCAGGGCCAGGTCGGACCTTAGTGTGCATGGGAAGAGAAGGGAAGGGAGGTCTCCTGGGCCACATGCACCTGCTCTGAGGCTGAAGGTGAGATTCACTTTGGGCAGGGCTCGGAGGGAGCCAGGAGACCTCAGGTTGTGTTCGTGCCATGGGTTAGGAATGAGTGGGCAGGGGCTGAGGGACCTGCATGTTCAGGCGGATGGTTCTGGGCTGGGGAGGAGGCCAAAGGGAGCGAAGGGGAAAACAGGAGTGGAAAATGGAGAGGTGAGCCGGAACCTGTGGGAGGTTTGGAGGGGTGAGGACACAGAGCCCAGGCCTGAGGACTCTGCAGCGGTCCATCTACTTTCACTCCCAGCCCTGTCCCTAACAGCTTTATGATGTTGGTCAAGTGACCTAACCCCTCTGGGCCTTGTTTCGCTCAGCTGTGCAGCAGATAGAGTGGTAGTACCTATCAGTTACCCCTCAGGCCTCCATCTGCTTACTCCTGAAGGGGTCATGTGGGCCTTCCAGCCCCTGAGGTCGTCTGCCTCAGGACAGTCATTGCTCTCTTTGATCCCTAATCCACTGAGGGAGAATGCAGACTCTCTCTGGAGCCAGGGCCCTGGGCCTGTCTGGTCCAGTGGCTCTCAGACTTCATTATGCATAAGAATCAAGTTTGGAGGAGCTTGTTACTAATTCCAGGCCCTGTGTCCTCACACTGATTCAGTGGGTCTAGGGGAATGGAGGGACTTGGGTTTCTGACGGACTTCCCGAAGGAGCCTGATCCAGTATTCCTCAGAGGGCACTAGAGACACTGGCCCAGCATACTCAAACTCCCCATTCACAAAGCCTTTGCAAAATTCCCGACATCCCCTTGTTCACATACCCCTCCCCTCCACAGAGAGCTCACTCTCTGCACTGTGGCAGGGGGCTTTGTGTGTATGAAAATGGTCAGCCAACACCCACCTCTGGCGACTTCTGCTGGCCTGGCTGGGCCCCAGAGGGTCCCACTCTGGGAGGCTGAGATGCTGTCTCTGGAGCCTGCTTCTCCCCAGGTTGAGCTCTCTGCCTCCCCAAACCGCTCATGGGGTCTCCAGCTCCCTCCTAACCCCACCTGGGATGACCCACTGGCTGCTCACCCACTTCCCGGCATGGGGAATAGAGCGGAAATTGCTCATTGCTTCCCTTCCTGGCTCACTCTCCTTCCACCTCCTCAACAGATTTTTCCAGCCCCCCACTGGGGGCTGCAGGCCTCTCCTCAGGTCTCAGTGCTTCCTGGCTCAGCCCCGCCCTCCAGGTAGCTGTCTGCTCAACGGTCTGTCTCACGCTCCCAGGAGTGTCTGGGCTGAGGGTCAAGTAAAGAGTGCAGGAGGCAGGCTGCCGGGTAGCCTGTACCTGGTGGTTGCCTCTCCTCTGACTCTCTGCCTGCCTCTGGCTGGTGCAGATTTTGCTCTGGGCTATAAAGAGAACAGCTTTCTGAGAAGGGCGAGCCTAAAACAGAAGTGTTTTGTTTCAGAATAGAGTGAGCCTGGAGTTTTTGAGAACTCAAAGGCCTCTCATTTCTAAAATTACCCCCTGGGCTCTCCAGGTGCTGCTGAGCCCAGTCTTGGCCCCTGGCTATATGAAGACAACAGCCGGGACCCAGAATAGGAAGGGTGAGCTGGAGGAGGAAGACCTGCTTTCCCAAGGCTGGCAGCATTGGCTGCTCTGCGCCCAGAAGGCTGAGGTTTTGGGGATGGGAGGAAGGGGCCAGTGGCTTGGACTTTTTCCTGAGGGTCCAAGCAGGCCCAGCCCCCACAGGGACCTTTTTGGACATGCAGGGCCCTCAGTCTAGGAAGCCCTGCAGTCTCCCCAGAACCACCCGTGAGTAATCACATAATTATGGGGTGAGAAGGAAGTCCTGTAGAAGGTGCAAAGCTATTCCTCCTCAGCCTGTAAGCAGGTCCCTGCTATGGCAGGAGGCCCAGTTTCTCTCACCACCTGGACAGGGTGGCTCAGTGCCAGTGACCTCGGGACTGGCTGAGCACCCACAGGGTCCCCTGCCACTGTGCCCTACCCATCTACAGGGCCCCCTCTCACCAGACCCATGCATCTGGCCTCTGCAATTCTGGAATCCAGCGACTGTCCCTCTGGGCTCCTCTTTCACACTTTGAATGCCACTGTCCCCTGCCTGGAGAGCCCTTCACCAAGCTCTCAGCCAGGTACAGACTCCCCTCCTGCTCATTTGCAGGGCTACTAATGGACTTTTCCTCTTCAGCTTTCTTTCCACTTTCTGAATGTTCTATAACAAACATATAAACATTGCTGGAAATGCTGGTTCCTCCTCACACATCACAGAAGAGTGATCAGAAGGCCACATCCTGGAGGGATTTTGATGGGTGTCCCAGGGAAGTTACCTGCTTTGTAGAGGTTTTCTCATCTATAAAATGTAAATAATAATCACATCTCTCTCATGGGTTGCTTAAGTTGATACATAAAATGCATAAAGAAGCATTCAATAAATGTTAAGAATTATTATTATCATAATTGCTATTATTCTCTGCTGGGCTCAGATTATGGTCATTGAGGTCTTGGGACAAAGCTGTTAGGCAGAAGGCTCCCCTGTGGCTCCCTAGTGGGCAGAAGCACTGGGCCTGGCAGAGTTTCCCCTGTGATCAATCTTCCAGAAATTTCTATTTGAACTTGTTTATTGGAAGGCTTTTTTTTTTTTTTTTAATGGAAGGCTTTTACTAATCCTCTCTGTGCCTCATGTCTTGCTCTACTGTAGGGACCCTAAAAGAAATTAGGGGCACTGCTGCCAACACAGTATGGGGGATACAGGGAGGTGAACAAAGAAAGGACCCTTTCTTCCAGTCCTGGATGATGTGCATTCAGTTAGGTGCATGCGTGGGGGCTGTGGGATCTTGGGCAGGCACCTGAACTCTGAAAGGGCTTCATGGAGGAAGTGACCCAAAGGTAAGCCCTAAGTGACAAATAGAGATGCTTCAGGTAGGCCAAAGAGGGGGAGGCAGGCTGGGAAGAAGGCATCACATGTTTAGGTGCACAGATGATTCTGCCTGCGAGGTTTTATTTCAGCATGATGTCCACCTGAGGTCTTTGGGTACCAGCTAGATAATGTTGAGGGTCACCTCAAGGAAGGTACTTGGTACTTCATCCACTTGGGGATGAAGAGACTAAGGCACAGAAGCATGAAGCAACTGGTCAAAGTCCCATGACCAATGGATATGGGATCCAGAGTGGGCATGCCCACAGGTTGGCTCTAGAATTATTTGGAGGTACTGAGGTACTGGGGATGGAACCCAGGGCCTCAAACACGCTAGGCAAGTGCTCCACCACAGAGCTACACTTCCAGCTGAGAATTCATATTCTTGACCTTCCCTCCCCCTTCCAGGGGGATATTTGGGCCTCCCCAGCATGGCTTCCTTTAGTCCCTGCCCAGTGGGTCTTGAAGTTCCTGAGAAGACTGAGTCCTCCATGCCATCCTCCATGCCATCCCAAATACCTGTGCATGCAGGCACCTGGCTATATCTGGCCAACCTGCCCTGCTGCCTCCTGGTCCCTGAGTTGGGCCTATCACTGTTTTGCCTGGTCCCTGCCCAACTGAAGGTCAAACTGTCAAGTGGGGTGCCCCGATAAGCACTTTGGCACCCCCATCCCTAGGCATGAGGCACGGAGGGGCCTGATGTCTGGGCTTGAGGGTTACTTTCCTTCTGTTCCACTCATCTGGCAGCCTGTCACACTTCCAGGCAGGTCCTCAGCAGGTGGGAACAGGGCTGGGTGTGAGGGGACACCCACTCTGCCCTTACCGGGGGAGCTCCCTGGGGCTCCTATGTTTTGCAGTCTGTGGTGGTGCCCAGATGCCGGGGGACAGCAGAGGCACTTCAGATCACAGTAGGCCACATCCTGGGAGACGCCGGCAGCCCTTATCTCACTGGACTTGTAAGGCTGGCTGAGTGTGTGGGGTGGGAAGGTCTGGGGAAGCCCCTTGCTTGCTAAGGCCAGGGGATGGCCTGGGGGGCCTAGCAGATGTGCGCCCCTCCTCGGCAGATCTCCAGCGCCCTTCGGGCCAGGCGCCCTGACTCCTACCTGCAGCGCTTCCTTAGCCTGCAGCAGAGCTTCCTGTGCTGTGCCTTCGCCGTTGTCCTCGGTGGAGGCTGCTTCTTGCTGACTGCACTGCACCTGGAGAGAGACCAGGCCCAGGCCCGACAGCCTGGCACAGGTACTCCTGCAGCTCATACCCATGGACATCTAGGGGCCACCCCGAGGGCGTTGCCAGCTTGTTCATTCATTCATTGGAAAATATTTATCACACCCTGCTATATACCAGGCAGGGCTGCAGAGGCCAGGAAGTGACCAAATTAGGCGAAGTCTAAAGCCTCATGGAGCTGCCACTCCAGTGGGTGGAGACAGACCAAAAAGAAAAAATGAGAGGATATGCTCAGGGGATAAGTGCTATAGAGACAAAAACCAGGAAAGGGAGTAGAGAGGGACATTCAGGGGCAGGTTCCAACTGTGGATAGGGTGGCCAGGGAGCTCCTCACTGTACAAGTGACACTGGGGCAAAATTTAGACGAAGAGGGGGAGCAAGCCACACAGCTACCTGGTGGAAGGAGCTCTTGGCAGTGAGAACAGCTAGTGCAAAGGCCCTGGGGGATGAACATACCTCATATGTTGAGGACCAACAAAGAGCCCAGTGTGGTTGGAGTAGGGGTGAGAGGGACTGTGATTAGAATGAGGGTAGCAGTGCAGGGCAGAACCAGGGGTGCTGGGGAATCCTTGTAAGGGCCCCAGTCTTAAAGGAGAGTGAGATGGGAAGAGCCCCAAGGGGTCTGACTGCATCGGAAAAGCATTGCCCTGGCTGCTGTGTTGAAAGCAGACCACAGCAGGTTACAGTTGAGGCAGAGAGGCCAGAGGAGGCTCTGGAACTACTCAGCGGCAGCACACAGCAGTGGACCTGTAGGGAGTGAGAGGGGTTGGAGCTGGAATTTATTCTACAAATGGAACCTAGAGGATTTCCTGACAGATAGTATCCAGGCCTATTCCCAAAGTATCTTCTGCCTTCTTTGGGGCTGGGAAATATGAGCTTCTTTCCTCCCACAGGGACCCTGGATAGCAAAGATGTGGACAGCAATGACAGGGAGACCTAAAACCTGCCTCCTGGCACCACTGCCTCCACAGAGGTCCCCTGAAGCTCCTGCCCTGGATCAAGAAGGCCTCCTATGCCTCCCATGTGCCTCCTGCCGGTGTCTCAGACCACCTTTTGCTGTGACTTGGGGACCCCAGCTGATCTGCACCTGCTACTTGTTCACTCCCAGCTAGAGAGCTGGCGGGGCCCAAGGGCTGGGCTGGGCTGAGAATTGAGCTGTCAGCACCCTCTATGGGAGGCCTGGGCCTACACCTGTGCCTGTGCCCAGCTCAAGGCCCTCTAGCTTAGGTGCTCAGCCTGGCTGCTGGTGGGCCCCGATTAAAGAATGGTCAGTACAAAGCCCATGGAGTTTAGACCTTAGACAATCCTGTTATTCTAGCCTCAGGGTATCTCTGTAGGAAGGGGAAGGGGAGAGGGAGAGGTGGGCAGGCTGAGGGTGCATGGTGGCCCCTGCAGTGGGGAAACTGAGGGAGCTGCTCAGCTTGGGTCTGTAGGTTCCCCTGCCCTGGAACTCTCACTGTGACCTGGCTCTCCCAGTCTGCAAGGCCACGAGGGCACAGGACACCCGCTGTGTGAATTCTTCATCTGAATAAGAGGTGGTCTTGAAGGTGGGTTTTCACTTGGCTGCTGGTGTAGGGGTGTGGCTTGAAGTGCCAGGGAGCCACTTGAAGGAGGACCCGGGCCTGCGTAGTTGTGGGGCAGCTGTGCTCAAGCCATGAGGATACATTCGTGTGGCTGTGCACGCAGACTCCTGGCTGTCCCGGGCTCTGGGCTCTCTGTGCTCTACCCACATTCTGACCCCAGCACTGCCCGTGGGGAAGGCCAGCTCTGTGGGACCCACCCACATCTGCCACTGAGTTCTGAGCAGCTGTTCTCAGCAGGCCTTCTGGAGATCAACGGCTTCCAGGGGGCCAGCCGTGGGGAGGCATGTTCTGTCCTCCCAGGAGCCTGAGCTTCTGTCCCCTCCCCTGGAGCCCAGCCAGCAGATCACTTGCTCATTTGCTGATTACTACCTCTGCTGTGCCAGGCTGTGCTTGACTCCCAGCAGCCGTGGGTGGAACAGTGGCCCATACGCCTGTACAGCCCCTGACCCTCGCCAGCAGCCCCATCCCTGCTGCCTAGAGTGTTCTCCTTGCCCTCTCTGGCTGGGACAGGCCAAGCCAAAGCTAGACCCTCTAGCTCAGCCCACACTTGCCCCCTGGTCAGCCATCCCTTGGAAGTGGGCATCACCTGGCTGACTGGCCCTTGATCCATGACTTGACCCCGGAGCTCATGAAACAGGCTGCCCTGGAGTTATGAGGAATCCATTGATGAGGTCAGTTGATTTCCCCTGAGAAGGAGGCAATCAGCCTGGGCTGGAGCCAGAGTGCCATGGACCCTCGCAGCATTCACTGACTGTGTGATCAGGGCTACCTCTTATCTCGCTCAGAGCTGCAGCTTTCCCAGCTATATTCCAGAGGTGTGTCAGAGGTGGCTTTTCCACTTCAGGCCTTATGTGATTTTCACAGATTGGGTCTTGATTCACAGAAGCACAGTTCCGGTACCTGAATCTTTCACTTAGCAGCCCCAGTGGGGTGGAGGGGCTGTGAGGCTCAGGTCCCAGAATGTGGGCAAGGGGTGCCTAAGAGTCAGAATATTCCTCCTCTGCCTTCCCCATCTGAGTCCAGTGGCTAGGGAGGAAGATCAGAAAGCTGGGCACAGTGGCATTCACCTGTAACTCCAGCTACTTGGGGGGCGAGGCAGGAGGACAGCAAATTCAAGTTCAGCCTGTGCAATGAGAGAGAGACCCTGTCTCAAAAGAAAAAGGCCTGAGGATGTAGTTTCATGGTGGAGTGCCCCTGGGTTCAACCTCCAGTTCTGAAAAAAGAAAGAAAAGAGAAACCTCATTCTCATCAATTCTGCAAACACATATTGATATTCCTGAGTCTCATCACATTTTTTAGGCAGTTATGGGCTGAGGATTTACCTCAGCGGCACTGTGCCTGCCTGGAAAACGGAAGGTCTTGAGTTCAACCCCTGGTACCAACAAACAAACATTTTTAGGCAGCAAATCAGACTCTGGCCTTTCCCTTGGACCTCACAGCCCAAGGCAGGATGAGAAAACCCTGGGTTAGGCCAAGTGAGACACTCCTCTGGGCAGAAGGGATCACATTCCTCAGAAGCCTTCCAGGAAGTGGCTTTGATGTTGGTAAGGGCAGGAGGTGAATCCTCGGTAGAAGGAACGGAACAAAGGTGCAGTGGGTGGGGCAGAAGACTTGTCATGAATCATAGAGGGTTGTGGTGTGGCCAGAAAGGAGGGGAGGGGTGTCTTTGGTGGGGAGCGGAGGCAGGAGAGGCTGGCCGGGACCAGAGGGGCTTTGGATGCCCACTGATGGGCTGGGACTTTCATCCTACAAGCCAGGGCAGCTTCTTCAGACTCAAGTGCATTACGACACTTGGGGTGCCGACCAGGGCAGGGTGGTACTTCCCAGGGCTCAGCTAGACCGGAGAACTTGATAGGATGTTTTCATCAAAGTGGTTTGGGGCAGGGCTGGAGCTCAGCGACTGGGGGGCCCTGGGAGGGGCAGAGACAAATCTCTTATCCTGCAGCCAAGCCAGACCCCCCAGCTTCGCTCAGCTCCTACCTCCTGCCTCTTTGGGGCCATCACCATGGGCTGAGGCCCACAGGTGTGAGAGGCCTGGAGAGGCAGGCTACTCAGCTCAGAGTGGAAGAGTCTGGTAAATAGAACCCATCTTCTGGCCCCCAAGAGCACTTATGGGGTAATCCCAGTCACTCATACTCTGACTTGTTTGTTGGGAATGTCAGCAGGAGGAAAAAATGCTGCTCAGCCGGGCAGGTCCTCAAGCCTGACCCTGCTTACTTCATATGTTAATGACTCGTTCTCAGGTGAGATATGGCTGGCGGGTGAGCCTGTCCATGTGTGAGCACGTGAGGAGGCATGGATAGGGTCTTGATAAAAGCTCTTCTTCCACTACTTCAGGCTTGGGTGATTGAGCATGCACATTTATATTCCTGTACCCCAACCCTGGCTTGTTTTTCTGCAGCATCGGCCACAAGTTTCATTCCCTGAAGTGTGTGACTTTCCCTTATGCCTGGGGTGGGCTTCCTGTGAGATTGTTGAGCCAATAAAATCTGCAAAGAAGAGCAGGCAGAGGTCCTGGAGTTTGAGGTTGTTGGAGCTGTGCTTTGTCTCGGCACAGTCAGGGGTGGACTACCACTGGCTTCTCTGGGTATCAGTTTGGATTGTAAGCAACAGGACTGGGTTGGCTACCTGAAATAGGAAAGGGATTTATTGGGAACATATCAGGAGCTTACAGGTAACCAGGAGATTCAGGAGCTAGGAGATGCAGGCCCTCTCAGTTGGGGGTCTTGGAACATTTTTCCCTATTCCTTTGTCACAAACTCAAGATTTAAAGCCCTGGGCATGAGAGTCCAGTTGGACTAACCATGCACATGCCTTGATTTATAATAGCTCCATTAAGGCCAGGAAATCAGAGTGCGGTTTGGAAGAGGAATGAGTGAATTCTGATCATCAAAATTAAACAGCTAGGTGGGTGTGGTGGTGCATGCCTGTAATCCCAGCACTCTAGGAAGCTGAGGCAGGAGGACTGCAAGTTCAAGCTTAGCTTGGGCAATTTAGTGAAAACTTGCCTCAAAATAAAAAATAAAAAAAGGGGTGGGGATGTAGCTCAAAGGCTCTGGGTTTAATCCCCAGTACTGGACAAAATAAAACAAAGCTTGCACGCACACATGCACACACACACAAACACATATACACACACAGACGTGTGCATGTGCGTGCACAAATAAAAGCAAAGCTGAGGGTGTGGCTCAGTGCTAGAGAACTTGCCTAAAATGTGTGAGGGCCCGGGCTCCATCTCCAGCACAGCAAAATGTAAACAAAAAACAATATACAAACAAAATCCAAACTAGCAACTAGAGAAAAAAAGGGAGATACAAACCAAAAGAAAGACCATGTCCACTTTGATGCTTTTGGGTAGCCACTGGCCCTCTCTAAGATGCAGCCTCTCATGGGCCAGGAAAAAGGCAGGCCTCAATGTCCTTCAAGTGATTCTTCATTCCTGATTGTCTCAGTCCACGATCAAATGAGACTGAAGCTTCTATAATTTAGAAGTGTTAAAATGTCCAAATGACAGAACAGGAACTTCTGTTAGTGGGGGCTCAGAGCCATCTGTTCTGAGCAGGAGACAGAGAGGCAGAGATGAGGCATTCGGAACAAAACTCATGAGGCAGGCCCAGGATGGGGGATGGGGGCTCAACAAGTCCACAGCTTGGCAACTGCAGAGCAGAGGTGAGGGGCCTTCTCCCCAGCTATGGGTGGTGAACCTCAGGGAAAGTTAGTCAAAGGGTAGGGGCAAATGGCAGGGGGAGGCCAATGGAGGGTGGAGACAATTAGGGAGAAAATGCCTTTTTTAGAGGGGCCAGGAGAGGAATCTGGCTGGTATCTGAGTCACTCAGAGCAACAGATACACGAAGCAAATCAACACATATTTCCTGCACCTGCTAAATGTCATTTACTCATTCAATCAACAAACATTCTCTAAGCACCTCCTTTGTACTGAATCGTGAAGATGAATCAGAGTATGGACTCTTGAGGCTCATGATCTATTTGAGCGTGGTGCTGGTGGATTCTTGTACAAACACAATCAGCATAACGAGTTTGATGTGATGGAGGTTAGTCAACAACCCAGGGGAAAAAATGACCAGTTGTTCAAGTGGGTCAGGGAAGGCTTCCTGGAGGAAATCATGTCTGTGCTGGGTTTCTGAAGGACCAGTGGGAGGGGTGAGAAGTAGGCAGCCTAGGCCCAGTGCATTAAAGGCAACTGAAGGGTCGGGGGAGGGGGGGATGCACGTGTGACGCTCTCCGTGGTCCTGAATCATCACTGAGTTAGCAGGACAGGGCTTTTCTGTTGAGGGAAGGGCACGGACTACAAACAAGTGACTCAGTTCTTGCCACCTGCCTAGGCTCCAGGAAGTTTAATGACTGTGAGTCTAGAAGGCTCTGTGTTCAGTATGGTGGAGAGCAATTTTGAGAAATGGGAGGAAGGATCTGAGATTGCAGATTGTTGTGAGTCAGGAAGGGCTGTGAAAGGTTGTAGAGATCACTTTAGGGAATTTAGATACTTATAATTCTATAAGCAGTGAGGAGCCATGGAAAGGTTTGTGCCAGGTAGAGATGGGCAGCACATATGTGATTTAGAAAGTTATCAGCAAGCGCTATGGGAAGTCTGGAGGGGGATGCTGCAGCTCAGGTGCTGCTGAGCTCTATAAGGTCCAAGTGAGATACGGAGGGCTGAGCTATGTCAGTGGGCGATGGGAGCATTGGAAGAAAAAATCAACAGGCTCTAGATGTGGGAGTGGAGGGAGAAGAAAGAGTCCCAAATGGCTCCCAGAGTCCTCTGCTTGGGAAACTGTGGATGAAGGTGCTACTTGTCAAGAGACAAATGATAGTACGGTGGGACCAAGTATGGAGGAAGGATGGTGAGCTCTGTTTTGGATGTGCTGCGGTGGCCTGTGGGATCACCGGGTGGACATGCAGGAGATTGCATATGGATTAGTGCTTGGAGATGAGGCCCATCTTGAGATGAAGGTAGGGGTCATGAACACATGGGTAATCACTGAAAGCTCAGGCATGAGAGGCTAGCAAGAGAGGGTGTCCGGGCTGAGAAGAGAAGCAACTGAAGCCTGAGCTCTTGAGAGAATCCCAGGTAGGAGTCTGGGCAGAGGGCAGGTGGACTGAACCCTCAGTGATCAGCCTTGGGAGAGCTGGTGCATTCTAGGCCAGTGCTTTTCACAGAGTGATCTGCAGAGTTGTGGTCTTACAAGATGTTCTGTGGTCAAGTACCCATAAGCACATGGCAGCCTCTCCTTTCCTCTCGGAGACTCACAGTGTACACTCTTAGAGGAAGGGCTCTGAAAAGTCCCTCATGAAGGATGCTTCTCTGTGTTTCCACACCATTTTTCAAACATATTTGCCCTTTGAATAATGGCTGCTAATGTCCTGTGCCCTATTTGTTTCAAAGTTAGGTCTAGACCTAATGAACTATCAGAATGCCCTTTGGCCATCATCGAGTTCAGCTTCCCATTATGCTGGCAGGGAAACTGAATCCTGAAGAAGCTGCGAGCAGTACTGAGAAGGAGCTGAAGCACTGGATTAGGAGCAGACTCACCTGAGTTTAGTCCAAGCTCCATCACTTACTAAGCAGGCAACCTTGGGTAAATTATTTTTTCTGGGCTTGCTTTTATAAATGCTATTTTTTCTTTCTTTCTCTTTTTGAAGTACTGGAGATTAAGCCCAGGGACTGCACACTGAGGTACACCCCCAGTGCCCCTGACCCCCTTTAAATTTTTTTGAGGCAGGATCTTGCTAAATTGCCCAGGCTGGGTTCACACTTTTTTGGGGGGGGGTACCGGGGATCGAACTCAGGACCTTGTACTTTCGAGGCAGGCGGTGGTGGAACCACTGAGCTAAATCCCTGGTCCTGGGATCACACTTTTGATCCTCCTGGCTCATCCTCCCAGAGTGCTGGGATTACAGGTGTGTGCCACGATGCTCAGCTCTCACAGTTTCTTCATCAGTGAGATGTGGATAAGAACCCTAGGCCTCATGATACCTCCAGAGGTTCTCAAAAAGCCATTGTGATTTGTTTGGGGCCACATATCCAGAAAGGGCTTATTGTCTTCCCCATCACTTTGCCCTAGGTGGCATTTATCTCACACAGGGCCAATTCTAGATATCGCCTTTGAGTTAAAATCCCAGCAGAACTCACACAGTGGGAATGAGTAGCTTGCTTGATGGCAGCTCAGAGGTCCCCCAAATTGAAAAGGCTCAAAACTCTGCCCTCTTCCCTTGCTCTGGGACCAACCCAGGGGTGGAAAGGGAGGGCCATGGGAAGAATGATTCTCTTTTAGGTCAAAGGTTAAAACTGTCCTTCAGGACAGGGGTATGGCTGAAAGGATAGGGAATTTGGGGAACGGAAAAGGGAACTGAAGTGGCACTCAGACCCCCTTCACAGTTCCACAGCCAATAGCCACACTGTCCTTGAGCTGTTGCCATCACAGATCTGAGGATCATTGTGGCAGCCCTGTTCTAGCAGCCCTGGAGCTACTAGGTCTGTCCTTGCAGGTTAATGGCCTGTCATCCTAGGCCACCCAGTGGAACTTACCCTGTTTGACTTGCAGGCCTGAGTTCAGCAAGCTGGAAAGAAGCAGCAGGCAACTTTCAGAATGAAATCTGTTTTCCTAACCCTTCCGTCACAGTCATTCATACCCAACACACTGAAGCATATTTTTAGTCACTTCACAGAATTTAAAATACACCTCGAAGGCGCCAAGAAACACCAGCTTGGGGATTAACTCTGCTCTTCAGAGACCGTGTGGGGGTGCCTCATGCTGTGTCATCCATTGGCTCTGCCATGACTCACTGTGGCCCATACTTTCATAAGATGCACCTGCCGGGGATGTGGGGTTTGGAGCAGCCTGCAGTAGGACACGAGCTCCCAACCCTAGAGGAAGATATCAGAGCCCTGAGGTAGCTCCAGCCCTGCTACTGGCTTGCTGCATGTTTGTGGTGGGGACATTTTCTGTGCTATGGCACCTGTGAAAAATAGGGAAAACCACCTAATTTTTGACAATCTGCCAAGTTCTAACATTCTGTCCTTTGCACTTTGTACAGGATTTTAATTTCAATCAAAGCCCCAGAGAGATGAATGGGGAGGATTAAGGGAAGTGTCACAGAACCACACACCTTTGAGATGGGTCAGAGTGGCAATGGATGGTAGTTCTGAATACAGAAGCTCCTTCAGTTTCCAGAGGAGTCAGCCCCTCTCTTCCAACCTGCCCGAGGGACTGCTCATAGACTTCTAAACTGCCTGAATCTCATCCTGCCACCTAACCTCAGACAGAAACTGAGACCCAGAGAGAGTTAGGATCTGGTTCAGGGTCACAGCACACACCAGTGCAGAGCTCGGCTAGGACCTAGATACCTGACTTTACTGAAGGCTTTGTGCCCTTCCCTAGTGCACAGCTAGAAGTCTGAAGCCTGCGGAGGTGCCCTCGGGGGAGGAGGCCCCTTCTGAGTGTCCTGTTTTGGGGGGTCCTAATCCCAGCCATGGCTCTTCCTGCTAGGGGTTGCTACTCTGTAGGGGGAGGGTTAGGGTCTTAGCGCACACACAGCAGTGGGGCAGAGTAGGTTGGATCCTGGAGCTGTGTTTTCTGGGGAAGTGGGCAGCACAGCCTTCCAAGCCTGATGTAAATCAGTTCCTGGGCCAAGCCCTCACGAGTCATGCTTCTTAGGTAGCACTTCTTGGGCTGCCTGACTTAGGGCGTGTGAGTAGCTGTTGGAGCCATAGGCTCTCCAACAGGTGCCCCTGTTCTGACGTGTAGGACCCTTCTCTCCAGGCTGTCCAAACACTCTAGGCTCAAACACTCGGCCCTCTCCCAGTCTCTGCCGGTAGTGGGGACTGGGTGGAGGGTACTGAGTAGGTATTCGGGGGTCCTGCTTCCCGCACCCCACCTCCACCTCCATAACACCCGGCAAACTCCTTCAGCTCTTCGCGGGATGGGCGTCTGCACGACTCCGGCTCCATAGTGACTGCGCCCCCGCCAGGCGGGTGGGGCTCTGCGGCCACCCCCACCTCCCGGGCAGCACGTGCGGGGCGGGGCTGTGGCTCGAACCTGGAGCTGATTGGGCGCGGGCCCAGTGGGCGGGGCGGGGCCACAGCTGTCAGAGGCGGCGGCGACGGCGGCTCTTCGGGCTGAACAGCGGCAGAGCCGCAGCCCCGGCCGGAGCGCAGAAGCTGACGGGGCCCAGTCGGGATGGTGCAGCGGCGGCTCCGCGGCGCACTCACGCACTGAGCGGGCCCGAGCTGGGCCCCGCGCCCCCCTCGCCCCCCGCTGCCCCAATCCCGGCCGGCATGATGTGCCTGGAATGCGGCTCGGCGGCGGCGGGCGGCGCGGAGGAGGAGGAGGCGGACGCGGAGCGGCGGCGCCAGCGCGGGGGGGCGCAGCGCGGGGCCAGCGGTAGCGGTTGTTGCGGGACGCGAGGCACGGGTGGCGCTGGAGTCGTGGCTGCCGACGATGAGGTGCAGACGCTGTCGGGGAGCGTGAGGCGAGCCGCGTCTGGACCCCCCAGCATCTCGAGCACCCCCGGCTGCGCAGCCACTGCCAAGGGCCCCTGCGCACAGCAGCCCAAACCCGCCAGCCTGGGCCGCGGGCGCGGGGCAGCCGCCGCCATCCTCAGCTTGGGCAACGTGCTCAACTACCTGGACAGGTACACCGTGGCAGGTGAGCAAGTGTCCCACCCAGCCCGAGGACCAGGACCCCTTCCCCCCAGGGTCCCCAGGGACCCGAGGGAGCTTTTGGATCCCAGGTCACCTATATCCAAGCCCTACGTGGAGTCCCTAAGGCCCCTCTGCTCAAGCGCAACGGGGCGAGTGATGCCCCCTTGCTCCGCAGGTCCCGTCCAGACCCCCGTCCCCGCCCAGGACCAGGGATTGGAGGATTCCCCCACCCTGGAGCAGCTGGCGCGTCCTCGCCAGCCCTTGACGGCCCATCCGTTGTCCTCTTCGAGTCTCCTCTGCGTAGCTCTACGTTCTTGCTTATGTGAGCCCTCCCACCTCAGCCGCAGGTTCCCGGGCCTCTCCTAGCCTTCCTCTAACCCAGGCCGTCTGTACGTCCATGGCCCGTCAGTTCCTCCCTTCCCTGGCCGCTTCCTCCCCCCTGCGTGCGAGCTGCGAGTGTGTGCGCCCCTTGAGGGTGTGCGCGCGCGTGGCGGCGCGGATGTGTGTGTGTGAGAGCTTGTGAGCGCGTGGCTGACAAAGGCCCCGGCCTGCGGGGAGCAGAGGGAGGGGCGGGGCGGGTCCGCGGCGCCTGGGGACCCAGGATGCGGTTTGCAGCTGGCCCTGGCTAGCAGCCTGGAGAGCCCCCCCCTGCCCTATGGCGCTTGAGGCCTGGGGCAGGACATAGGCTTCTGGTTAAAGAGGGGCGGCTTTATTCTCTGTGAATTTCTCTGGAATCAACCGTAGGGATGGGATTAAAGTCCACAGAACAACTGGTTTCTAGTCCCAGATTTGCCACAAATGTGTTTGGTGTGTGACCTTGGGCCAGTCTCAGCTTGTGTTTAGATCTGATTCCCTGTTTTTGAGTTCATCTATCTCTGGGCCTCTTGGGATGGATGTGGTTCTGGGATTCCCATCTGCTGGCTCCCTTCCCTGACTTGTCAGGGTCGAGAGGTAGGGACTTGCCCTAGATGAGCTGCCCCTGGCTGGGAATGATGCAGTCTTGAGAAGAAAGGAATCTGGTCAATCTGGCATAGGTGGGAGCTCACTGCCGGAGGAGAGCAAGTCTGAGTAACTGGCATGCTGTCCAAGAACCTGCTGGGGGGTGGGGGGGAGGTGGCTGGAGTCGGGAAAGGGAGAGCGGCTTTCCTGTAGATTATAAAGAGGGCTTTGGGATGGCTGGGGGGACCCTGGCATAAGCTACATGCCCACCTCTCTGGGCCACAATCTGTTGACACAGTCTGTTGAATGGAGTTTTGTGTCAAGTGCAAGAAAGAATGCTGATGGGAGGGCAAAGGCTTCCCCACTCCCCCATTCCTGCTTGAGAAATCCCATGTCTCTTCATCTGTCCACTGGAGGGAGTTGGAAATAGACAATGGCATCAGTTTCTGAGTTGAGCTGCCCCAAGAGACTCTTACCCTGATCATGGTGAGCAGTATTGTGTGCCCTTCAAGGGCATCAACCTTGTCATGCATTTGCTGTGCTACCTGGGACCTGGGAGCTTAGGTGCCACCCTGTGGGCAGAAGTCAGAGAACACTCGGGTCCCCTAGTCAGAGCAAAACTGGCTTCTGATGGGACAACTAAGGCTCTTGCATGGCCTTGGTCCATGATGGTCCAGGAGTTGGACAACAAAGCTGTTGTCAGCTCTACCAGTAAGTTTGCCTGGGGAAGAGGTTTCCACCCTCTCTCAGCTAGGGAATGAATGTGCTGCTTCTGGCATCATAACGCTTTTCACCTTATTCTTTCCAGCCCCAGACTACCCCTCTGACGTTCTTAAGAGAACTGACTTTGTCAGGGGCAGTGGGGAGAGGGTGGGATCAGGGAGGTCTGGTGTTTATCTGCTCCTACCTCTAGTAGGGGCAGACTGTCAGAATGGGGAAACAAGATAGCACATTTCTGGTGAATTGGTCATGGGGAGCAGAGACGGGGAGTAGTAGCTAAGAGAGGCATGGGGCAGTAGGGAGGAAGGCCCGGAAAGCCCTGGGCAAACACTGACTGGGCTGTACATCCCTCCTTGTGTTGGCCCAGGGTGGGAGCTCCTGTGCCACCCCACCCCCAACACACAACACACACTGATTTCCTCTCCGGATAAGCCTGGCTCCCTCTCTTTATAGTGGACTTCCCCTGCCCCCAAGATCAGTTTGGAGGCGTATTTAACTATCTCCACAGTAACGACTCTGGCTGCACATATCTTGGGCCAGGGCCTGAGTCCACCTGTTGCCTGCTGGCCCAGCTGGGACAGAGGGAGGGAGGCAGACACTCTGCTGCTCAACACCTTTGATGTTTTTGCCCACCTGACTCATGAGAACTGCACAGTCTGTACCCAGTGACCCCCATCAAAGGAAGGGTGAGTTCTCACTCTTCTTCTTTACATCTATCTCGTATATTTTTCTTTTTTATGGTATATACCAGCTCTGTCCAAAGGGAATATAATACAAGCCACATATCAATTTCGTATTTTCTGGTAGTCCAGTCATTTTCGAAAAGTAAAAGAAATGTGTGCAATTAATTAATATATTTTATTTAAGTCAATATATCCAACATATTTCCACATGAAATCGACATAAAATTTATTCCTGGGATATTTTGCATTCTTTTTCATACTGTCTTGGAAATCTGATGCATGATTTACTTCCTCAGCACATGTCAGTGTCACAGTAGCTGGGGGGTCACTGGAGTGGAGAGGTCAAGAGTCTTTGGCAGAAGAGATGGAGCCCGGGTTCCTCAGCTCACCAGCTGCGTGACCTTGCAGCCATCACCTGAGCCTCTGCGGGATAATTGCCCCAGCTCTACTTCACAGGCTGTGCAGAATGAATGAGAGTGGATTCGAAGCACCTGGGACTAGGCCAGACACTGAGAGGCCTCCACAAATGTCAACTGCCTTCACCTTTGAGCGGAGGCACACGCTGTACCCCTGGCCAGGATGCCCTTCCCATTTCCTCTGTTTATGCCAGTCCCTTTCAGACTGTCTTTCAGATTGTCCCTACAGATGCCTTTGGGAGCCCCTCCCTTCTGCACCCTGGCTGATCTCTAGCCTGGGAACTCCAGTGGCTTCTGCCTTTGCCCTGGCATTCACAGCACCACCCGGTGATCCAGTTAATTATGGCTTTTCCTCCTCCCCATGAGAACCCCCTGAGGGCAGCCAGCCTTGGCCCCAGGTGAGGAGGGTCGGGCTCCCATTCTCCTTTCTCTGGAGCCTTGCTTCAGTACAGTGAGATAGAGGTAGACTGGAAGCCGCCTCTAAACCCTTCCCTCCACCTCCTTGTGCGCATGGGGACACTGGTGCCTAGAGGACAAAGGCAGTTACCCAGGGTCATGTGGCCCACCCCAGTATGCTCTCCAGTCCCAGGAGTTTTGGTGGAGGGGGGGCGCCCCCGTCCCCCAGACTGGCCTGGAAGCTCAGAGACTCTGAGGGACAGGTTAGGAGCCCTCCGGGGCAGATAAGAGTTCAGTTCAGTTTAGACCTGGCACCTGAGATCCCTGAGGGTTCATGGCTCCCTTGGCCCTTGCTGACCAAGCAGCTACTTCCTCTGCATTCTGAGCCCACCTATGGCGTCATATCAGAGAAAGGAGGAAGCCCTTAGGGCGAGGGCTTTGAGCCCCCCACCTCTTTCCCAGCTCTGCTTCCTGGTGCAGAACCTCCTCTGCCCCTGGGCTCCCATTCCGTCTTTAAAATGGAAGCAGAACTGCGGGTGTAGGTGGAAGCATTTCGCTCCTGGAAAGAGGCTCAGCAAGAGGGAGCAGGCCTAGGTCCTAATTAGGGTTGGTGAATGACTATTTGAGAGCTGAGATCCTTCCCCAACTTCTCTGGGGCACCTGTTCCATCCTGAGACCTATTTTCTTTCCCTTTGATCCAGCCCGTGACACACTGGGCACCTGGAGCTGAGTGGGGTGGGGCTGGGGAGGAGAGGCAGAGTCCTGCCCTGGGGGAGTCCTTTGCTGCCAAAGAAGCTGAGGCCAGTCTCCATGGCAACCACTCACTAACACCATCCCAGAAGAAGAGATGAGCACAGGGACCCAGCCAGCAGAACAGGCGGGTGGACTGGGGCCTTGCCCTGAGCAGCTGGCTGGGGGCAGAAGAAGGGGCTGCTAGGGCAGGGCTCACTCCCTCTCTTCTTGGTTCATTTTTTCACTGTCCAGTTGAGTCTGCCCAGAGCTGACAGATGGGGAAATGGAGGTACGTGGTCTTTCATAGGGAGCCCAGCCCCAGGCCTAGTTGCTTTGTGGCTCTCTCTGGATAAGGATAGTCACCTTAAGGATAAATACAGTCCCTGCCCTGCCCTACCCTCTGGGATGGCCTTGCCCTGCCAACTGCCTTGTGTGGACTGTGGGGAAGCCCCAGCTAATGTCTTGGGGGTGGGGCATCCAGAACACCTTGCAGGCAGAGCTTACACCCTGGCGAGCACCGGTGTCCTCAATGCCAGTGGCCTGGTGACTAACTGCAGCTGCTTACCCTCTTCCTTCTCGATACTTTTCTGCTGCTTTTGCCAGCAGCTCTGCTATGCTGTTGATCTGTCATAAGAAATGCCTTCAGACTGACTTAGTCTGAGATACAGGCTGAGCCCTCAGTTTCCCGTTTTGTGATTGGAGCAAGAAAGTAGGGCGTGGCTTGAGAATGGGGCTGCCCTAGACAGAGCTGCCTGGAGAGCTGCCTAGGACCTTCCCCAGACCCTCCACAAAAGGAAGTGGCTTTTGTTTCTGCCTGGGTATGGGGGCCTGTGATCTTGAGGACAGAAGAGAGATGAGAATGAGGGAGGCAAACAGTACACTGGCCTCATCCCCAGCCTTCTGGGGCTGGGCTCCCTGTTTGCCCCTGAGGGTCTCCTGGGCTCCTAGCTTTGCCAGACTTTAGCAGCTTTGCTGTGTGACTCAAGCAGATCTTGACCTTCTCTGATCCCTGAATCCACAATACATGATTTTGTCCCCCACACTCTTTTTGTGGGGGGGGTACCAGGGATCAAACTAGACCTTGAGCTTTTGAGGTAGGCGGTGGAACCACTGAGCTAAATCCCTGGCCCCTCCCACTTTTTTTTTTTTTCTGTGATCAAGTTCTCGCTTCCAAGGGTATCATGGGACACTTAATCTCAGGAGCTCTTGCCTGCTGGCCCTTGGCTTTGCCTGTACCTTCTTTCCCGGCCTGGGCTGTGTCCCAGGAGCTGCAGTTGTAAGCCTGTTTCCCTTGGTGGTCTAGGCAATGTTCTGCCCTCATTCCAAGAAATCTTCCCCAATCCTCTAGGCCAAACCACCTCACTTCTGTTTTTTATCCGCACTTTGTTCTGCCTCTACCACGGCACCTGTAGGATCACTATCTCCCTCCAGCCCTGAGGGGCTGACGTGTGTGACAGAAGCTTCCACAGGAAGCTGGCATAACCTTGAGTGGCCAACTTGGGTAAACTCGTGCTTGCCTGACTCTAAAGCATATCCTTCTGGGTGGAAAGGACACTGGTTGGTTTGGACCTAGTAAGGACCAGCCCTTGTCACTGAGGCCAGGCCTCTCTGCCTGTGGCAGGTGTTACTCTTTTGTTTTGCCCAGGGTGCATAGTGAATCTCAGGGCCTCTTGTGTCCAGGAAGGAAACAAGAGGAAGTCCCTGCCTGCCCAATCCTCAGCCTTGACAATGGGCCCACCCCACCCCCAAGCTGGACAGAGTGCTTCTGCACATTCAGGAGGGCACAGTGCTGGGTTTGCCCTATCTCCTCTACAGGTAAGGCCATCAGGGCACAATGCTGGCCCCAGGTCACAAAGTGAGGCCATGTAAAAGAGAACACTGGTTTGTTCTGGGCCTGGTTGTCTCTAGGTGCCTGGGAGGTGGGCAGATGATCTCAGGGGACATGGCTGAGGGCAGGAACACTTACATTAGAGCAAGAAATACTCAGGGATAATGCACTACCCAGGGCCAGGAGGCTGGGGATTGGGTTCTGACTTCCTACCTCCCTTTCAGTCCTCTGTCTAACTGGAGACCTTGTTTGGGTCCCCTGTACCCAAGCTGTAGTCCTGTGGTGTCTTTGTAGTCCCCTCACCATCAAGCATGGATTGCTGGGTGGGGTTCTAGGAGGCAAGAAACCTGATTAAGCTTTGTAAACTGTAAAGGATTGTGCTGGGGGAGAGTTGGTGTTTCTTGGGCACATGACTGTTTCAAACACTCTTGTGAAGACAGCTTGAATGGGTGTTAAGGGGGCACTGATTGTAGCCTCTTTCTGGGAAGTTGCTGGCATGATGATGGGAAGACACACCAGGCTTAGTGCTTGGAGGGTGTGCATCCCAGCTCCTGCCTGATTCTTCGACCTCTGTCCCAGACCTTCCCAGTCTCAGTTTTCCATCTGAGAAGTGGGAGCAGGAGTCCTGATTTCTGGAGCTACTGAAGCACTAAGCCAAGAGCATGTGGGCTTGAGCTTCGCCATTCTGAGGTCTCTTTCCTCTTCTTCAGCCTTGCTGCTCCTGTGCTCTTGTGTTATCCTTTGTCTGTGGCTGCACCAGCCACACCCCTGAGGGCCATGATAAGACTGTGGCCACCTTGTCACTGGCCCCTGGAGTTCTGGGGAGTGCCTGGGCCAAGCCAGGGCCGGGAGGCTGAGCTGGAAAGGAGTTTCTATGCAAAGCCCCCAAATTGCTAAGGCTGAATCTAGTTCCAGGAAAGCTGGCCCCAAATGATAGGCTGGAACCGCAGGCCAGAGGCCTGGCTGCCGCCCCTCCCACTCTGGGCATACAGCAGTGCTGGGGAGGAGGGGGATCTCTGGGCTCTGGGGCAGTGCTTCTTTAGAGTTGGTGGGGTCTGCAGGCAGGGCTCTTGGGTGGAGAGGGGTGTTTTCCTAAGGGATCAAAGATCTGGGCTAGGCCCTTGCTTCATCGTTCTTGCAGAGATGACCCGTAGGCTATCCTGGCATTAATCACCTAGATTTGTAGGATGTCATGCATAGTGGTCGGTGCATGTAGGGCAAAACCCAGTTAGATTCATGAATGGACCCAGCAAGGCTGTGTTGGGATGCAGGACCACCCATGGCTCAGAGGAAGGGCAGATGGTGTCACACAGTTTGCCCCTGCAGGGTGTGGGCCATATCTTGCCCTGTGGACTCAGGGGCAGGTTTGGGTGTGTAGGCTTGGGAGCCTGGGCTGCCTTGGCTGGGTCCCTAGGCTGTGGGATGCTAGTGGGGCCAGGCTGTGACCAGACTTCACTATCCTGAGCCAGAGCAGCAGAGCCAGGCTCTTGGGCCTCTGTAATTACCAGGGTGGGAGCTATGGCTGAGCACTGGAGCAGGGGTGAGACTCCCAGAGTGAGCCAGCTCTGGGGCCTCCACGTGAGGATCTGGGTCCCTCTGAGAGGGACTGGAAGGAGGGCAGCATGGCCTATCCCTTGAACTCCCTTTCTGAGGCTCTGTCTTTCTGCATGTCTGCCCCCATTTTGGAGAAAAGAACACTGAAGTGAGAATTCCCTTGTTCTTGGTTCTTCATTATTCCTACCCACTGGTAACAGTGATGACATTTATTGAGCACTTATTATGTGCCAGACGCTGTGCTAATCACTTTGCATGGATCGACCTACTTAAATCTCAGCACACCCATGTGAAGCAGGTCTTAAAATTAAGCCATATTCCTGAGGAGGAAAGTGGGTCAGAGAGGTTAAGTAGTTTGCCTAAGATCACACAGCAGGGAAGATGGGAAAGCCAGGATTTAAACCCAGATGGTCTGGTTCTAGAGCCTATGCTCTTGAAAATTCAGCTAAGCTGTCTGCTGCTCTGAGAGAGGCTCTGGCGGGGTAAAGTGGGGTGATGATGACTATGCTCGAGGGAAACAAGCCTGAACACCAGGTGGCTGTTCAGCTGACTAGGAGGAGACCTTAGGAGCATGCTGTCTGGACTTCCCATCCAAGGCTGCTTGAGCTGAAGACCTCTGAGATTATTGTGGGCTTTCTCTTAGAGCCTCATCTTTTTGAGGACTCTGATGCCAGCAGGTTAGACCTGGCTGGAGGAGGGAAGGGGCCACCATGAGTCTTCTGGGCTGCTAAGGGACCCACAGGGATGGGAGCTCACTGTGAGCATCTGGGACCAGCTGGTGGGGTAAGTCAGGGCCAAGGGTATCCTTGAGGTTACAGGGACCTATAACAGATCCAAGATCCTTCTCCAAGAACCTTAGAGGATGGAGGAGTGTCCTAGGGGACCTGA